CTCAGGTCATGATCCCAGGATCCTGGGATCGAGCCCCGCATCGGGCTCCCTGCTTGGCAGGAAGCCTGCTTCTCTCTCTCCCACTCCCCCTGCTTGTGTTCCCTCTCTCGCTCTGTCTCTCTCTGTCAAATAAATAAAATCTTTAAAAAAAATAAAAAAATATAAAAAAGAGCATCTTCAGCCTATTACATAAGCTACTTAGTTTTTCTCCCCCATGTGTGGTTTTTAATAAACTTTATTTTATTATTTTTTAATTTTGACATTTTAAATTTATTTTTAATTTTTAACTTTTAATTAATTTAGTGATTGTGAACCAGTGGGGAGGGGCAAAGGGAGAGTGAGAGAGAATCTAAAGCAGGCTGTACATTCAGCATGGAGCCCAACATGGGGCTCAATCTCATGACCCTGAGATCATGACCTGAGCCAAAATTAAGAGTTGGATGCTTAACTGACTGAGCCATCCAGGTGCCCCATCCTCCTATATATTGTGAATGCTCTGTAGGAAACTTGTCTTAAACTGACTTTGAAAGAATTTAGTGTCTTGAAATGCATGAAAAGTAAAGCTGTTCATTATAGATTTTCAGATCTTTTTGCTTTTTGTAATGAATTTTTCAAAAATTGGCATTGATATATGTTTATCAGTATTTTATTATCAGGAATATCTATGCATATTAAAAATACATAGATAGACAAATATTTTCTAACCAGTTTCATATTGGTCTGACTTTGAGTGTAGACATTTTCTGTTATACATACTTTGGTAATAAAATTAGTGCTTATTTTTTTTGAGTTTAATTTGTTTAGGGATTTATAGGATTTATACATCAGGTAAAGATGAGGTAGATGAACAAGATGCAGGGCTTTCAGCTTTCTAATTTTGTGTTGGTTAACTTTCATTGTGCCTCTGATCTTTATGGTGGAGTCTTTCCAGAATATTATTATGATTGTAAGATTTTGAATGAAAACAAATGGTGGGAAAGAAGAATCTGACTTTCTCTTAACTGTGTACAGCATAACATATAGTATCTTTAATTTTTAGCTTTTTAAAATAATCTATTGGTTTATGATTTTACAGAGAAAATTAAAAATGAAATAATCTAAACTAAGGTTTTTTTTATATATTTTTTTAGCTTGATAGCTGGTCATTTCTGCAGACATTTAATTATTCATTATACCCAATAACTTTTCCAAGTGAGAATGCAGCGGAGTGGAAAAAGCTTTTTAAACCTTGTGCTTCCCAGAGATTATTCTTGCCAGTAAGTTTTTTCTCTAGTGTTTTTTTTTTTTTTTCCTAATTTTGCTTTTACACACGAGTTAATGAAGAGTTACATGTAAATGAGTTAAATAAACATACACATGTAGATTTTCCCTTTGAACATTAGGAAAAATCTTCTGATAGAACAAATAAAAGCTACAAAAGAAAATACCTGTTTAAAATGAAAAATGCAAGTAATTTCTGTGGAAATACTGTTTCTTACATTTTAGTTTATTCAGGTGCTGTAAACTGTTTTATTTCTAAGAAAGAATAGAGGTCATCAGATCTTACTGGAGCCAGGTCTGTTGCCAGCAGAAATGCAGTGGCAGTACCACCTTCTCGTTGCTCACTGCATTTGTACTTCGCGAAGTGAAGTAGATTGTATCATTAAGTAGCCATTTCTGTCTTATACCAAGCCACGTTACGCTTTCCAGATTATATTTTAACACAGCCACAAATTTAAAGCATGTGAACTCAACGGGAAATGGGAACCATTTGTTCAGTGGAGCTGTTCTTTGGTGGTGGTCTCTGGTGATAAACCCTGATCATTTTTTTTTTATTTTTTTAGTATTTTATTTATTTGACAGAGAGCACAGGCAGGGGAGGCTGCAAGGCAGAGGGAGAGGGAGAAGCAGACTCCCTGCTGAACAGGGAGCCTGATGCGGGGCTCGATCCCAGAACCCTGGGATCATGACTTGAACTGAAGGCAGATGCTTAACCGACTGAGCCACCCAGGCATCCCAGATCATTTTTTTTTTTAATCTGAAAATATTCAGAAGCAAGGTTACCTCTTCATTTTGAGTTGATTTCATCCACATCTGTAGTAGTAGAAATACTGAATTTAAGAAGCTCACAAGTTTGTGGAAAGTGTATGAATTATGGGGGAAGAAACTTTAGTTACTTGTTATTCTTTTGTTTTAAAGATTTTATTTATTTATTTGACAGAGAGAGACAGCGAGAACAGGAACACAAGCAGGGGGAGTGGGAGAGGGAGAAGCAGGCTTCCCGCAGAGCAGGGAGCCCGATGTGGGACTCGATCCCAGGACCCTGGGACCATGACCTGAGCCGAAGGCAGACTGAGCCACCCAGGCGCCCTAGTTGCTTGTTATTCTTAAATGGAGCAAAGCAATTCTTAGCATATTAAGATATAATTTACTGAATCCAGGTCATCAGTAAGATTTAAAGTTATAATTTTGATCACTGAGTCTGCCTAACCAGTAACTTTGTTGGCATGTGTAAAAAATTTGGATCCTAGGATCTTTCTCAGTCTCTGCTTCCATTGTAAGAGGCACACAAATAAGGGGTTAAGATAGGGAAAAAAAAAAAAAGCCCAAGAAGTTTTAGGTATTTCATGTAGACTTTACAAGTTTAGAACAAAATTTTTATGTTGAATCATTGTTGTATCACATTTAATAAATTGAGTGCTTATTTTTTGCCAAGAATCTGTACTGAAGTTCTGGTATATAGGAATGAATAGAACAGATGGGTTTCTTATTTTTATAGAGCTTATTGTCTGATGTGGGAGGCAGGGATTAATCAAATACAATATGACGTTCAATAAACAAATATATTACTGAAAAAACAATACATGATGATAGAAGCCTAAGGTTACAACCATTTCCCTTTCATTTTGTTCTGCATTATTAACAAGTTTAATTGTTGGTGTTGTGATATGAAATTTTCCAGATCATTTAGTGATGCAATCTGGTTAAATTCCTAAGTGGAATTTGAAACACTAAAATAAAATACTTGAAACCTGTCAAATTGTCCTCATATTTCACTGTTAGTTCTGCATCTTTTTAACCAGATTTAAGTAAATTGATGCTTTATTTTTCTAAGTGGTACTTTTTTTATTACTGAGTTTCTCTTTTTTGAAATAGATTCCCTACTCAGGCTCTGCGTTCAAACCACTTTTTTCCCCCCAGCTTGATATTAAATCAGCTGGTGGGGGAAATGGGGTGATTGCAGCCTTGTAGCTGCTCATTAAGGTGATGGCTTAACCTTACCAGAAGGAGGAGGCAACAGTTTTGAAAAGGAGCAGAACAAGGACCAAACTCTTCTTTTTATATTCTTAACTAAAGAGATTTAGGTTAATCTAATAATTGAGTTCTAATACACTGATACATGCAGTAAATTTAAATTTGCAGGAATTGGTTTCTAAATTTTGTGAGTAAGACAGATATAAAAAGTTTTCCTTGAAAAATCCCTGTAGAAGACACATTCAGCATCTCTCAGAAAGTAGTAATATAGCCAGTCCTTCTTTAAAGATACCTCTTGTCTTCACCCTTGCTAAGTATATGCACATTTACTTTCATTTGTTGGGAGACAGTAAGCACAAAAATAAAACAGCATGGATTCCAGAGCTAGGTGGTCTGGGGTCCAGTTTTGGCTCTATCATTTACTAGTTGAGACCAAAATGGTACAGTGGTGCCAGCCATTAGTGTTATAGGCCAAGGGAACAAATTCAGAAGATCTTTATTTTATTGGTTTATTTCTGTATTTATTTTAGGAAATTAAGATTCAGGATATAAATTCAGCTAAGTTAATGTTATTTTCCATTACTAAAAACATTATGTCCCTAATCTTTGACCATATTGCTTTTATTTTATTTTATTTATTTTTCCAGTTGTTAATATTTATTTTTTTGTTCTGATTTGTTTTTATAGCTTTTGTTCTCTGAAAGTTAATATAAAGATTAGCATAGTATCTCCATATATACTATTGTAAAAAAATGACAGTTTAGGAAAGATTACTTAAAAAAATTAACATAATTAACTTGTCTCATAGGTATTTCTTTTACAACAAAAGCCTTTTTTATGTTTTATATTAAATAAATAGAATTATAATTAATGTTTCAAATATCTCTTCTCATAGTTAATCCTGAAAGAAGTTGACTCACTATTGTACGTCGACACTGATATCCTTTTTTTACGGCCCGTTGATGATATTTGGTCTTTACTAAAGAAATTTAATTCCACACAAATTGCTGCAATGGCGCCGGAACATGAAGAGCCACGAATAGGGTGGTATAATCGCTTTGCCAGGCATCCATATTATGGAAAAACTGGAGTAAACTCTGGAGTTATGTTGATGAACATGACTAGAATGAGAAGGAAATATTTCAAGGTAAGTCACTGATACAGTTAGTTGGTTAACAGGTCTCTATTTTCCTTCCACAAATTGTTTGGTTTCCAATATAGTTTTATTTTTTATTTAAAGATTTTATTTATTTGACAGACACAGCGAGAGAGGGAATACAAGCAGGGGGAGTGGGAGAGGGAGAAGCAGGCTTCCCGCGGAGCAGGGAGCCCGATGTGGGACTCGATCCCATGATCATGACCTGGGCCGAAGGCAGACGCTTAACGACTGAGCCACCCAGGCGCCCCATAGTTTTGTTTTATTAAGAACTAGATTAAACTACTCAGAATTTTCCTACTTATTTAGAATAATTGAAGAAAAGTGTGTCCTGTGGTAGATCAAGCCAGATGTCCTTAAAAATGAAGTAAAATAACAATGCATTAAGTAGTGAACGTCATCTTTCTAGATTGTTATTCTAGGTAATAGTTGTCATTTTGTAGTTGTGCAACTGTAGAACATCTTGGGGGTGACACAGAGATGTGAAGAGCTTAAGACTCTGGACCCTGTTGGCCAGGTTTAAAACTCTAGGACCTTGAGTGAATTTTGAACATCTCTGGGCTTTAGTTTTCTCAAATGTGAGATGAGGATGGTAGGTAACATTACTTACATCATAGGACTTTTATAAAGATTGAATTAGGGGTGCCTGGGTGGCTCAGTCATTAGGCGTCTGCCCTTGGCTTGGGTCGTGGTCCCGGGGTCCTGGGATCGAGCCCCACATCGGGCTCCCTGCTCGGTGGGAGGCCTGCTTCTTCTTCTCCCACTCTCCCTGCTTGTGTTCCGTCTCTCGCTGTGTCTCTCTCTGTCAAATAAATAATACCTTTAAGAAAAAAGATTGAATTAGAACAGTGGCTAACACATTATAAATGTGAGCTGTTTGGGGCTATTGGAAGTTAACATTAAAAAAAAAAAATTCTTGGGGTGCCTGGGTGGCTCAATTGGTTAAGCATTTGCCTTCAGCTCAGGTCATGATCTCAGGGTCTTGGGATCGAGCCCTGTGTTGGGGTCCCTGCTGAGGGGGAACCTGCTTCTCCCTTTCCCTCTGCCCCTCCCTCCCACTGTGTGCCTTCTCCCTCTCTCCCTCTCTCAGATAAATAAATGAAAGCTTTAAAAAAAAGTTCTTGCATGTTTCTTATCTCTCAAATTGTGGGGTCAGTGGAAGAATCTGGCTATTTAGATTCTCTGTGCATTCTGAATAGAGGAGTATGTTGTATGGTTTACCAATTTTATGTTGATGAGTTTTATGTCATTGTAGTTTGTGGGCACTGGAGTCAAACTGTTTTTATGTTTAACCTTGCCACCTATGCATTTATTTAACCACTAGCTGGTTAACTTTAAATGTCAATTCTCTCAACTGAAAAATAGATAATAAATGGACTTATGTAGGTTGTCAGTTTAAAGGAGATCCTTTTAAAATACTTAGTACATCTCTTCAACAAATGGTGCTGGGAAAACTGGACCACTTTCTTACAGTATACACAAAAATAAACTCAAAATAGATTAAAGATCTAAATGGGAGACCTGAAACCATAAAAATCCTAGAAGAGAGCACAGGCAGTAATTTCTAACATCAGCTGTAGCAACATTTTTCTAGATAAGTCTCTTGAGGCAAGGAAGACAAAAGCAAATATAAAATAAACTATTGGGACTACATCAAAATAAAAACCTTCAGCACAGCAAAGGAAACCATCAACAAAACTAAAAGACAATCTACTGAATGGGAGAAGGTATTTGCAAATGACATACATAATAAAGGGTTAGTATCCAAAATATATAAAGAGCTTATACAACTCAACACCCAAAAAACAAATAATTCAAATAAAAAATGGGCAGAAGACATCTGCAGATATTATTCCAAAGAAGACATCCAGATGGCCAACACACACACGAAAAGATGCTCAACATCACTCATTCTAAGGGAAATACAAATCAAAACTACAAAGATACCACTTCATGCCTGCCAGAATGGCTAAAATCAAAAACACAAGAAACAACAAGTGTTGGTGAGGATGTGGAAAAAAAGGAACCTTTATCCAGTGTTGGTGGAAAAAAAACTGGTGCAGCCGCTATGGAAAACAGTATGAGGTTCCTCAAAAAAATTAAAAATAGAATTACAGTGTGATACAGTAACTCCACTATTGGGTATTTTCCCAAAGAATACAAAAACACTAATTGAAAAAGGTATATGAACCCTTATGTTTATTGCAGCGTTATTTACAATAGCCATAAAATTATGGAAGCAAGCAACCCAAGTGTCCATTGATAAATGAATGGATAAAGAAGATGTGTGTGTATGTATATATATATATATACACACATATACATACACACAATGGAATATAAGTCAACCATAAAAAGGAATGAAATCTTGCCATTTGCAATAACATGGGTGATCTAGAGAGTATAATGCTAAGTGAAATAATTCAGAGAAAGACAAGTACCATGTGATTTCATTCTATATGGAATTTAAGAAACAAAACAAATGAACAAAGAAAAAAGACAAACCAAGAGACAGACTCTTGACTGTAGAGAACAAACTGATGATTACCAGAGGGGTGGTGGGAGGGGAGATAATGTGGAATAGGTGATGGGGATTAAAGAGCACACTTATGATGAGCACTGAGTAATGTATGGAATTGTTGAATCACTATATTGAATGCTTGAAACTAACATAACATTGTATGATAATTATATTGGAATTAAAAATAAAAATAAAATGCCTAGTGCAGAGCATGGCACATAGTAAGCACTTAAATGTTAGCTAAATACAGTGACTTCTCAAATACCCATATAGACGTGCTGTTTATCCCTTTGCATCTGGTTGGGGCTATATTAAACATTAAGGAATATTATGTCTTTTATGATATGAGAAAATATGTATATGTGTATGTATGCATATATATTTGTCAGATGTTTTTCTTATGGCTTCTGGTAGACCAGACTTCACACCATTATTTATTACTCCTTTTTGTGTGTCTTATTTAAATTTTGGCCTCATTTAGAGTTGTTTCCTTGATTCATCTTTGGTGTATGCAGCAGAACTGCTTGCAGCCATGCCCATGCCTCGACATTTCAATCTTAGGACTGTTTGTACCCATTGTTCTTTTTACTGTAGATCTAGTAAACTTAGTTTTTTTGTTGTTGTTTTTAGCCTTCTCATTTTCTGAACCTTTTTGAAATCTTGATTTCATTTCAATTTTGTCTCCCACAGTTGCATACTTTAACAAGGCTAGTGTAACCTGTGCTCTTGCTTAACAGTGAACATTTCTTCAGCTACCTAATTTGTTAATATAGCTTAAGTTTTAAAATTTCACGTACCATAAAGTTGTACTAAATAAAACAGGCATAATACCATGAGTTCCTCCTATTCTGATTGTTAGCTTATGCACAGTAATATTATACCAGAAGATGGTGCTATAAGATTACCTGCTAAGGAATAATACGACTTCTCAGTAACTCTTCATTTGAAATTCATAGAATTATGAGAAGCTTACTATTGCAAAGAACCTTAGAGATAATTTAGTAAACGCCATTATTTTTTAAACATTTCAAAATTACAACTCTCCAGTTCAAATCTATGATTGTCTTTTACTTATTTAAATGTCACTCCTAAATACTTTCAACGTCCCCCCCCCCTTTTTTTTTGTCATGGCATGTTCTAAAATCAACTAGAACTGTAGATACAGGAGTTGAAATCATTTCTAAACTTTCAAACTTTGTTTTCTTTCTTTTTTCTTTTTTTTAAAGATTTTATTTATTTGACAGAGATAGCGAGAGCAGGAACACAAGCAGGGGGAGTGGGAGAGGGAGAAGCAGGCTTCCTGCTGAGCAGGGAGCCCGATGTGGGGCTCGATGTGGGGCTCGATCCCAGGACCCTGGGATCATGACCTGAGCTGAAGGCAGATGCTTAAAGACTGAGCCACCCAGGCGCCCCTCAAACTTTGTTTTCATCTGTGTATAATAGACTTAATGAAGAAGACTATGAGACGCATGATTATACATTAATTACATTAATACATTAATTCAGTAGGTGCAGTTTACTTCAACCTACCATCCCTGTGTTGCCCAGTGGGAACAACACAGATTTGCTTTGTTTTCAAATATTACTGTATTTATGATTGCTAATATGTTTCTATAAAATTTATTTTTGTTTCCTTTTTTCATATGTTTGTTTTTCCTGGTTGTTTTCCAGACTGTATCTGTAGCAAACATTGCCTTGTTTTTTCCTACTAATTCTACAGTTTCTGGCTCTAGTGATTACTTATACTAACTTTCTAAACTGTTCCCTACACATCTGTGAATGTTGCTCCATGGTACTTACTGCATGAAAAGCTGTAAGACTACCCATTTAAGATAATGGCCATATTTTAAATTCTTAATTTGCTTTGCTGTCACCCAGTCCCTACCATTCATGACTGTTCATTTCCAAACTAATGTATTATATGCATTAAAAATTAAAATCGTAAAAATTCTGCTTTTTTGTTGTTTCTCATTATGCTTGGTAGATAATGATAAAGTGGTTAAGCTATTGCTTTGTATTTTGTGTTACGATTATATTTGCAGTATTGAATCCCTATTAGGATATTTCTTAGCCTTTTTTTATTAGGGAAAACCAAAGAATATAAATAGGCATCTTTAAAAAAATTTGTTTTTTGTTTTTACTTACTTTTTAAGTATTCTCAGTGTGGGGCTCAAACCCACAACCCTGAGATCAAGAGTCACATGCTCTACTAAGCCAGCCAGGTGCCCCCAAATAAGGCATCTTGAGAATCCTTTTCTTGTATATTTGCTGTACTGTGTTCACATCCTGCCATATATTAATTTGTAAAGTAATCTTTGTCTGTTTTCTCCACTTACTGAGGGCAGGATGTGTGTTTGGTACAACTCTGTATTGGGAATATTTAGAATGGGGTATGAGGGGTGCCTGGGTGGCTCAGTTGTTAAGCGTCTGCCTTCGGCTCAGATCATGATCCCAGGATCCTGGGATCGAGCCCTGCATCTGACTCCCTGCTCAATGGGAGGCCTGCTTCTCCCTCTCCCACTCGCCTCTGATTGTGTTCCCTCTCTTGCTGTCTGTCTCTCTGTCAAATAAATAAAATCTTTAAAAAAAAACCAGAATGGGTTATGACATAAAGTAGCAACTTAATAGGTAATTCCTGACAGAGGATAGATGAAAGTTTTAGAAACTGGGCCATTAGTGAGTTATTAAAAAATATTGGAAAGAGAACATTTCCACATCCATGAAGTAGACATGATGGTTATTTTTACATATTTGTAAAATGTATGTGATGGAGAACTTTTATTCTATTATATATATATATAGCTTATGAGAACAGAGTATCTGAACATCTTACTAACAAGGGTAGAACTCTTTTCAGAGATTAGTGCAGTAACTGATCTTTGGGAATTGATGAGTTCCCAGTTTCTAGCACTGTTGGAATATGCTATGAATAGCCAGCTATCAGTTTTATATTTATATATAAGATAGACTCATAATGGTATTTTCAAAAGCATACATTATTCTGAAATGAGATTAATTGATCTTAATATGTGCACATTTTGGTGGTAGGTTGGCTAAAATTAGTAAATTAGAACTACATTTTTCTTTTTAAAAATTACAAAACGAGGGGCACCTGGCTGACTCAGGAGCATGTGACTTTTATTTTTTTTTTTAGATTTTTTTTATTTATTTATTTGAGAGAGTGAGAATGAGAGAGAGCACATGAGAGGGGGGAGGGTCAGAGGGAGAAGCAGACTCCCCGCTGAGCAGGGAGCCCGATGTGGGACTCGATCCCGGGACTCCAGGATCATGACCTGAGCCGAAGGCAGTCACCCAACCAACTGAGCCACCCAGGCGCCCCATGTGACTCTTGATATTGGAGTTGTGAGTTCAAGCTCCAAGTTGGGTATAGAGATTACTTAAATAAATGAATAAACTTAAAAATTTATAAATTGCAAAATGAAATCAGGCTTATAAAAATTTAAATAATTCATTGTGTGTAGAATAAAAAGAAAAGTCTCGCCTTATATACCATTCTTCCCAGTTTCATTTCTTCGCCCAAATGATATTATAAACTTTGCTATATATTTTTCAGACACATTAAAAAATGTGTTTTGAAACAGATGTACATAAGCACTTACATCTTTTTATGCCTTTTATACATCTTCAGTTTGCCTTTTTTACTTAGTAAACATATAATTGACTCATTTTTATGTCAGTACATAGTCTATCATATTTTTAATGTGTATATGAGACAGCAGAGAATGGATGATTTGGTTTTATTGTTTGTGTGTACTAGTATGAGCATGTAGTTATATGGCTGGAAATATCTCATATTTTAGCTTATACTTTCCTGACTGTACTACTAGTGTGGAAAATTATATTTTCATTTAATTTTTGGCCATTTGTTTCCTCCTTTGTGAATGGCTGTTTGTCCATACCCCTTGACCATTTCTCTACTTTAAAATTTTTTTCTATAACCTGAACTCCTTTTATATGTCATGCCTCTTTTTTTTTAACAAAATTTTTATTTAAATTGAATTTAGTTAACATATAGTGTATTATTAGTTTCAGGGGTAGAATTTAGTAATTCATTAGTTGCATATAATACCTAGTGCTCACTACATCAAGTGCCCTCCTTAATGCCCATCACCCAGTTACTCCATCCCCCCACCCCCCTCCCCCCTCCCCCCCCCTCCTCTCCAGCAACCCTCAGTTTGTTCCCTGTAGTTAAGAGTTTCTTATGGTTTGTCTCCCTCTCTCTTTTTTCTTTTTTTCCCCCTCCCATATCTTCATCTGTTTTGTTTCTTAAATTTCACATATGGGTGAAATCATATGGTATTTGTCTTCCTCTGACTGACTTATTTCGCTAGCATAATACCCTCTAGTTCCATCCAAATTTTTGCACATGGCAAGATCTCATTCTTTTTGATGGCTGAGTAATATTCCTGTGAGAGAGACAGAGAGAGAGAGAGTGTGTGTGTGTGTGTATATGCCACATCTTCTTTATCCATTCATCTGTCAATGGACATCTGGGCTCTTCCATAGTTTGGCTGTTTGGACACTGCTGCTATAAACATTGGGGTGCATGTGCCCCTTTGAATCACTTTTTGTATCCTTTGGGTAAATACCTGATAGTGCAATTGCTGGATCATAGGGTAGTTCTATTTTTAACTTTTTGAGGAACCTCCATATTGTTTTCCAGAGTGGCTGCATCAGTTTGCATTTCCACCAACAGTGTAAGAGGGTTCCCCTTTCTTCACATCCTTGCCAACATCTGTTTTCTTTTTTTTTTTTCCCTAAGACTGCACTGGACCTTGTAATTTGATCTTTCACTGATTTTTTTCTTTGAATAGGTATATTTCTTCATATATATATATATATTTATATATATTTATTATATTTGAATGGAAAGAATCCAATGAAGATTTGAACATGGCATGGTACAAGGTGTCCACCAGCCCTGTCTATTGAATGTGTTGCTAGTCTTTGTTCTTGTACAATTCAGAGTTTCCTTTTCAGATGCTAACAATATTTAGTTAACATGCTAAATGACTTATTTCGGAGTTGTCCTTTCAATAAAGTATTTTCTTATTTTTTCCTTAAGTAAGACTTCTTTCAGTCATTTTCCAGATTGTTTTGGGGGAATTTCTGATTACTTTATAATTACTGTGTTTACTGTGTTCTGAAAACTTCACACAAGGGTAATACAGTTATAGCAGATAATATTTAGTTTAAATATATAGCTTTTTCCCTTAGGAATTCTGGCTTTTCTTTCTCTTTCTTAAAGGATAGATTGTTTTTACCCCCATTGTTTTTATTATATATCCTAGAATAGCTTATCACAATGTCTTTCAAACTGTGTATGGAGGATCAGTTTTGTTTTTTAAATGTACAATTTTTCATGAGCCAATACTTGTAAAAATGATGTAAGTTACTAGAAAAGTATTAGATTAAATAGACCTAAAATTCTGTTGAGTTGCTATAAAGGTTTCTGAATGTTACTCTTAATTTCTGTACTTAATATTGTGAAGGACTTTAAAAATTCACTGTTGTGCACACTGAAAACTGTACTTTGAGGAATATTGGGCTAAGTCTGAAGAGTTTAAGAGTCAAATGAATTGAAAAGGCTTAGTATTCAGCTCCACTGCTTCTCACCCACATTCACAAGATCTAGAGCTCTCTTTCAACTCTGTTGTTTCCTTGGGTATTTGACTTTGTGTTTTTTAAAATAATGAGCTGTGAGCAACTTTATAGAAGCTGAAAAGGTACCTGATGAAATTCACTGTTTTTGATTTACCAGTTTCAGATTGATCTCTTTGAAATGTCAATTATAAAAGATTAACAAATCAGTCTAAGAGTGATAGTGATCCTGGTAACAATAATAGCTAACACTGAGATGTGTCATGTGCCAAGTACTCTCTAAGTACTTTTTATTTATATGTTAACGGGTTGAACCCATAATAACTGATATAGACCTAGGTACTATGTCTAGGCATATGACATAGGTACTGAAACTATCTGCATTTTAGGATGAGGACACAGTCATCGTACTTTAATCTATCACCTACTTTCTCTTTCCCAATCTTTCCTGACTTACTAGTTTTATCACTTCTACATTGTAGCTTCAGATACCTTCTTTTATTATCTTTACTATTCCCAAACGGACAACCCTACTCACATTTAGGTTCACGTTAGAGTCACTTGGTTTTATAACAGAAGAAGTTTGCATTTCTTCTTGGTGCTCTGTGATGCTAAGGGAAGAATGGGGAACTGTCATTGTGCTGCCATATTAAACATGGAAGCCTGAGGATCTTCTTAATGTATTTACCAACAGAATGACATGACAACTGTACGGCTGCGATGGGGAGATATACTTATGCCATTGCTTAAAAAATACAAACTTAACATCACATGGGGGGATCAAGATCTGTTGAATATCATCTTTTTTCATAATCCAGGTAATCATTTAAATTCCTTTTATTCTTTGCATTTGTAAAAAAAATCATAGATAATATTTAGTCAAAAATGAAGAAATGCAATTATTTGATTTTGGCTTATATTAATGATTATCACTATGTTTAAGACAGAGTAAAACTTTTTTTTTGAACTTTTCTTAATATTGTTTTTGTAGGAAAGGATCTAAATGCCAAACATTTTTCACTGTTTTAAATCTTCTCCTATAAGAGCTGTGTTTTTAAACTAAAATCTTTGCAGAATGTTAATTCTATGGAATTGGGGTTATTTGCTTCATTGTTTTATTTTTCTTCACATAGAAAGCCTTTTTGTTTTTCCGTGTCAATGGAATTATCGACCAGATCATTGTATATATGGAAGCAATTGCCAGGAAGCAGAAGAAGAAGGAATCTTTATTCTTCATGGGAACAGAGGTGTTTACCATGATGATAAGCAACCAGCATTTAGAGCCATTTATGAAGCACTGAGAAATGTAAGAATGTGGTTTTTTTTTAAACTTTCTGTGTTGAAATTCTTACAAACTTAGAGAATTTGCAAGAATATACAAAGAATTTCCATATCCTTTACTCATGTTCATTAGTTATTAACATTTTACCTTATATGCTTTACCATTGGTTCTCTTTCAGTATAGACAGGTTTTGTTCTGAACCATCTGAATGTAAGTTGCACACCTCATGCTCTTTTACTCCTTAAAGATTTTAATGTGTTTTCACTATGAACAGGGACATTCTCTTATTAACCACAGTACAGGTATCAAACTCATGAAATTTCATATTGATACCGTACTTTCATGTGTATTCTCTTTCGATATAGAACAGTTTCTCAGTTTTTGTCTTTTATGACATTGGCGTTTTTGGAGAATAGAGCCTCTTTACCTTTTTTTCTTATTAGAATGTTCTTCATATTGCCTTGTCTGATGTTTCCTTATGATTAGGTTCAGCGTATGCCCTCCTGGTCAAAGTACTGTGTAAGCAGTGTGAGCTTCTCAGGGTATCCCATTCACAGTCACCTTTGTCTACCTGCCTTTCGTTGGCAGTGCTTCTTTTGATCACTCACTCAAAATGTTGTTCAGTTTCTCCACTGTGTAGTTGTTTTTCCTCTTGTAAGCAGTCTGTGGGGAGACTCTTTAAAATCATGTAAATACCTTCTCATCAAAATTTCTATGCTACATTTAGCATCCATTGTTGGTTCTTGTTTAAACCAATCTTTATGGTAGTTGCAAATTGAGGATTGTCCAGCCCTAGTTCTCCTTCTCCGTACAACTTTGGCAGTCAGCATTCTCCTGTAAGGAAGAACCATCCCCTTTTACCCATTTATTGACCGATACATTATTAGTAAGAAATCATTGATAGGTGTTTTTTTTCGATGATTTATAATGTATTATTTGTGTTGATGCCTAAGTTGTTTCCAATTTGGCCATTGGAATCCCTTTTGCCAAACTCGTGTGCCCATCTGACATATTCCCTTCATTATTTTGGGTTATTTTGGTTGACTTCAAGTTTCATGCGTTGTGGTCTGAAAATACGCGTGGAATGATCTCGATCTTTTTATACTTGTTGAGGGCTGATTTGTGACCCAGTATGTGATCTATTCTGGAGAATGTTCAACATGCACTCGAAAAGAACACCCATTTATTTAAAAGTCTGTCTTTAACCCAAAGATTTGAGATACTGACCTTATCATATACTAAAGTTCCATTTGTAATTTCTGAATTTTCTCTTTTGTTCCACTGGTTTGTCTAATTGTGCACTAATGCTGCACTGTTTTAGTTATAAAGACGGTGTACTGTGTTTCAATATCTGGGGGGTTACTCCCTCTTCAGAGCCTGTTCTCAGTGTTTTCCTAGCTATTGCATAGTTATTTTTCCACAAATATTAACTCATTTAACTCAAAAAACAAATATTAACTCATTAACTCAAAAACCTGTATTTTTATTGGGAGCGAATCAGTTTCTTATATTAACTTAGGAGCTGCTGACGTTTTGATGGTGTTGAGACATCTTAATCGAGAGCAAGGACTATCTTTCCATTTGTTCTTTCAGGAATGTTTCATAGATTTCTTCATTCAGATTTTGAACATATCTTAAGTTGATGCTTAGGTATTTTATCTTCTTTGTTGCCTTTGTAAATGGGGTTTCCTTTTTTAAGCATCTGCTTTATATTGAGTTTGAGAAAACTATACTGCCCCTTTCCCACCCTTGCCCTAGATATCTTCTTCTTCTTCTTTTTTTTTTTTTCTTGTTCTTGCTATCCTCTTTTATGTGATTAAGGTGGGTTGACAGGGAGAGATGACTGTACTTTACATATCTCTAGTTTGAATTGTAAACCAGGTCTCCGTGAATATGTTGGGGACCAAAACTTGGGGCAAGTCCAGATGAAGATTGGATCTATGATTTTGCTTAATGAACTATATCTTCCTGTCTATGCAGTTAATTCACTGATACCTGGGGAGAAGTATATGTGACCACTTATCTCTCATGCAGATGTACTCTTTGTTCTGCTAGACTGTGCCTAATCTTATGGGGATGTGAAGACAGAACATAAGTAAATAATAGGAGTGCTAGTTTGGTTTAAGTGTGGGGGTCAGGAGAAGAGCTGATTGCCTCTGTTTTTTAGATTCTTATTCTTTTTATTGCTAATGACTGGTCTAGTACAGCCTCATATATAGGAATGAGGATGAAAATATTTAACTGTAATCCTTTGTGACAGAGACTGTACTGGAACCATAAGAGGGTATAAGAACTTTGTTTGCCTTGAAGGGCCCGAGGAATCCTTGTGCCTCACTCAGAGGAGGCCTTTGAAGTGGGTCTTGAATGAGGAAGAGTTTTCCAGGAGCAGGGTCTATCTGGGCAGAGTACTGCCTGAGAAAAAGGCTCAGGGGTTTTAACACAAAAAACTTTTTTCATGAAAAGTCCATGGAGAGAGGTCAGGTGTGGAGCTGTTCAGTTGGAGTGGAGTGCTGGGTGATGGTAGGCAGTGGCTGGGCTGGGATCAATGTGGTGATGATATGCTGCATCAAGGTGATGATCTGCAATGATAAGGAATTGAAGTTTTTTCCTGGAAATCAGTGTTTCTCAAACTTGGTGGTAGGCAAAGTGCTAATGGCATTGTAGGCTATCATTTTATATGTTATTTGCTAAGTTTCTTCTCCTGTAAACTTGACAGATAAAGTTTCTGTATCATCAGTTTATCATGATATAGCTACACTCACTGAAGAATTCTAAAATTTAGTGTTGATATTCATTTAATGTAGCAAACCTTATATGCCCCCAGAAATCAATTTTGTATATTAATGCTTTATCATGTGTTGTCAAAAGGTGATAAAATGAAGAAAAGTACTTTTGGGGTTCTGAGACTGCAGAATAGAAAAGAAATACATTCTTATAAAAATATGATTTCTTTGTTTCCTTTGAGCATTAAGAAAATCCATTATTAAGGAATTAAATTTCACTAGTTTTATTTGATCTTTTCTTTGATCTTTGGTAAATATATACCTTTAAAAAGCTGAGTAATGGTTTTAAGCTGACTGGTTACACTTGATTTAAAAAAATAAATCTTTTAAAATGACTTCAAATACTGAATTATTTGTATTTGTTTTGAATCTGTATTAACTATAGCTGTATCTTCCCATTTTTCAACTTAATGAAGTTAATCAGTCTTTTATGGTGCTCTTGGTTAGTGTTTTTATCTTCCCTTATCTATAATTCAATGAGAAGTGTAATTTTTAAAAGCAATGTATTCAGACAAGAGTATTTATGCAAGTTTCAGACAGAAGCTTAGTCATTGCCATTGAATGCAATGAACAATATGAATTATAAAGGATATGAACCATCTTTAAAATGTAAATGCATGGCTGTATCTTCCAGCAAATCAGGTTTTACAGTCCATACATATTTGTTAAATATTAGTTGTTGAGTGAATAAAAATATTAAGATTAAAAATTGCAAATGCAAAATGGGAACAAAACATTTTATTGCTCTGTAAGGTATTTTCTGCTTCACGTATTTCATTCTGAATTACATTTCTTGGTGGTTCTGTGTTAACTTTGATTTACTTCACATCCTGCTTATATTTGCCTAACTGTCTTCACAAGGGAGTCGTCCTGAGTGTTTCCCTTCTGTGCTACGGTCATCCACCTTGTCCATGGGGGATACGTTCCAAGCCCCCCCAGGGGATGTCTTCAGTACAGATAGTACTGAACTCTATATATACTGTGTTTTTTTCCTATACATACATATCTCTGATAAAGTTTAGTTTATAAATTAGACACATAAGAGATTAAGAACAATAACTAATAGGGCGCCTGGGTGGCTCAGTTGGTTAAGTGACTGCTTTCGGCTCAGGTCATGATCCTGGAGTCCCGGGATCGAGTCCCACATCGGGCTCCCTGCTCAGCAGGGGGTCTGCTTCTCCCTCTGCCC